GAATCGTACGGTGTCGAATAATTTGGTGTCGAATAAATCTGTGTCGAATCGAGCGGTGTCGAATCGTACTGTGGTCAATAGAGTGTCACCCGAAAAAAAGCATGTCAGCAAAAAAGAAGCGAATACTTCCAATTGCTAAACGCGGCGGTGTGTTACCGGTTCTACAGTTGCTGGGTGCTCTCCGTGCGCTCGTTGCTGGAGCGGCGGGAATTGCAAAAACGGTAAATGATACGAGAGCTGCACAGCGGCAGTTAGAAGAAATGCTTCGTCCTAATCGCGCGATGAAAGGTCGGGGAATTTATCTGACTCCGTACGGACGGGGACTTTCAAAGAAAAAAAACGCTAAAAAGACATTAAAATTACCTACAGGTGTAACAACAAATATGCAGTTAGAACAACTAGCTAAGCGCATGCGCATACCTTTCTTTAGAGGTGTTTTCATGCGTAATATTTTACCGGACGTAGTACGTCGTAATGAGAGTGGTATTGTCAATTACGATGATACAAATGGACCGGGTACTCACTGGGTAGCGTATGCGAAGAGAGGAAAACATGTCATATATTTTGATAGTTTCGGCAATCTTCAACCACCAAAAGAAATGGTGCGTTATCTAGAACATGCCGTAGACAAAATAGAATATAACCGTACATTGTATCAGCGTTACAATCAAAGCAATTGTGGCCAATTGTGTTTATGGTTTCTTTAAGCGGTCGATGAGCAATATTCATTTAAATAGTACACTATCAGACTTTATTACGCATTCGACAACATGTCACTGACGATTACACTTACCGGCAAAAGTAGTACACTTGCAGTCAGCTACTTTCCCGCTATTGATTTAAGTGACGGTGATTACGAGCTTGGACTAACAGATTTTGAAACGTATCATACGATACCGAATGTGAATTCGTCGAACAATAAGTTTTATTACGATATGGATAACAAGCAGATTATAATTCTTGAAGGGTCGTACGAATTACAGGATATTAACAATTATCTGCAACACGCAATAGTGCAACGTCATGCGAAAAGCAAAGATATGGATGAGAATATCCCTCCACTAATATTACGCGCAAACACCAACACAATGAAAAGTGAAATAAACAGCGCTTATTAAATAAATTTTACCAAACCCGACAACATTGGATCGTTGTTAGGTTTTTCATCTACTCGTATTTTAGAGCCGCTACAATGGTACGTATCAGACGTGCC